CGCCCACAAACGACAAACTGACAAACACACCGATAAACACAAGCGTTTACATAACGAGCGAACCTCAAAGTGTGGTAATTTTGAAACATGAATTCTGCATTCACCGCCATGGCCGCACAAAACATGAGCTTTAAGCGTGTAAAATTGGCCGAAAATGTGTGGTTCCATTGCATTGGCCGAGTGAGGTTGAATGCGTGCGGCTCCCACACAGACACACATATGTATATATGTACATAGAGCTACAAGCTGCCTACAATTTGTTTTTGTGTTTGTTGAGCTTGCATTTGTTTGGCTTTTAATTATAGCAAATAGTAAATAAGCGCGCTAGACGAGTCTAAAAACAACAGCAACAAATGTACATTTGTATGTATGTATGTATGTATATAGAGAAAAGCTTGCAAGTATGTTGCCACCAGCGGGTAACAGTAAAAATACAAATATCGAACAAAACTTGTAATCTTGTAAACAAATCAAATTCTTGTTCACACAACAGCGCCAACAAAAACAATAATTGTGCAGAAAACAAGAACTGTGTGGCGCACAAAAAAGCGCAACCGCATAAAAAAGTGCCGTTAAAAATGTAGTAAAGCCACGATAACAACATCAGCAACAACAATAACAACAAAAAAACATCTCTAACTAATAATGACAACAAGCGCTGCAATTAAAGCAACTACAAGGCGGTAAGCAACGCTAAAACAGCCAAACGGCCAGCCTTCGGCGCGCACACGCCACCTAAAAGTGTCCACTGCGTCACGCAGCCACAGCGCGCCCAGGCATGCGCTCTAATTATCAATCGAAGCTAATATTTTGCGCTTTTTTGACGCGTTTAAAAGTCTTGCGCTTTCAACGAAATTGCCCCGCTGAGCAGCGGTACCGGTGTCGGTGCCGGTTGGGAGGCGCAATAATTATTAGCGTTAGTTTTTATTGCTAATGCACTTTGCTTTCACGACTCGACAAACAATTATTATCTGCGCCCAATAATTTAAAACGCATACGAAAATATGTTTGCGCAAATAAAGTTGCACACGCGAAACCCGCAAAGCGGCGCACATTGGCTCGCCACGCCGCTGATAATGGCTGCCTGAGTGCCCGCTTGGCTACAACCCACTTTTGCCATTTTGTCAACGCGGTTTTAGATGTCATACCGGTCGGTTGGCCAAAACAAACATCGCCGAACTCGCGTGTTCGCTTTCGCATTGTGAATTTACAGTGTTTTGGTTTGACTGAGCGGATTTGAAATGGTCTTTATTGCTGGAACTTGATGGTCTTTATTGCTAAGAAATAAATATATTATAAAAATACTAAGAACATTAATAAAATCTTAAATCCAAATTTAGAAGTGAATAGGATATTTTAAATTGCTCAAATAGTTTGTAGCAGCCAGAAGGAAACGTCGGAGACAATATAAAGAATACTCGTCGGACGAACGCAATACGTGTAGCCAGGTGGGTTAGTCTGCCCGACTGCATATAGTCGAACTAGTCCCTCAGAGGTCTCGATCTCAAAGAAGCTTTTTACCACCCAACATCCTAAAAATATTGCCAATTTAACAAAGTTTCCATCCGACGGAGCTTTTTCCACTTTGGAAGACTTGCACGTATACATATATCATATAAGTATAGCTACCGTGCAATCTGAACGATCAAAATATAGTTATTGTGTGGAAACCTTCCAATTTAAGGAGATGTCTTTACTATTTATTCTAGGCAACAGTGCACTTTTCTAAAATTGTTGAGATCGACTATAACATACAGCTACCTCACAATATAAGCGATCGAATCCAGTTCTAGTATGAAAAACTTTTTTATTTAAGAAGATATCGTGAGGAAATTTAACATAGAATATTATATATCCAACGCAAATCTATACTCTCCTCCGCCAACTTTGAAGCGGTGATACTTTTTCAAAGAAGTCAACAAAAGAGAGAGGGCTTTGGATAACATGTCATATTAAGATGAATAAAACCATTGACGTAAACTTGAAGAGCTTTCCAAAGCCCTAAATTTCATATAGCCGTTCATAACACCGTTCTTTGTTTCGCATACATAAATGATTTACTACTTAAACTTTAAAGTTATTTTCTTTTTGAATTTTCTGCTCACCAAACGAGCTTAAATGTGTATATAGTGACAAAATATATGTATACAAATATATACGGAAATTATATTCCTCGGGTAAATGATAATGTCGATAATCTTCCTCTTCCTCTACTTGCTCCAAGAGGTACTGCGTCTAATACTTTCAGAGCTGGAGTGGTTTCCTTCCATTCGGACGACATAACCTAGCCTGCAGCTGTTTTTTAATCCGCTAAACTATAGTGATTTCGTCATTATACTCATATAGCACCTAGTTCCATCGAATGCGGTATGCGCCGTGGCCAATGCGCAAAGGACCATAAATCATTCACAGAACCTTTCTCTCGAAAACTCGTAACGTCGACTCATCAGATGTTGTCATCGTCCATGCAACATATGCCAGGATGGGAATAATCAGTGAGTTATAGAGTTTAATTTTTATTCGACCAACAAAATCAAACTGTTCTTAATTACTATGCCGAATTTAAGGGTGATCTGTCAACCACTTTATTTAGAGCAGCTGTTTAAGTCGGTACACCTCAATGGTGCGTGGCGATTTTTGCAATGGATAAAAATATCGTACAAAGAATTTGTCTGAAATTTCGTATTTCTAAAAAAATTTCGTGTGCGGAATCGTTGCAAATGTTGGAATCGGAATGGAGGGAATAAACAAGCCGAAACCAAAAAAACCGCGCCGAGGCCACTCAAAAGTTAAGGTGATGCTAATTGTTGCATCATGAATTTGTTCCGGAGGGTCAGACGGTCAATGAGAAATTCTATTTGGCCGTCTTGAGGCATAAGTGTATTACATCTGATGCGGATTACTTTATAGAAGAAAAAATAAAAATTCATTCTCCAGATAATTTTTAGTCAGAAAAGAAAAAGAAATAGCAGTGTGAGTATCGGAGCTATGGCGCTATTCTTACTTTCATAGGCAGTGTCTAGCAATAAGGATAATTTTTCTGAAGTTAGCTTTAATCCAAAAACAAACAAAAAACATGAAATGATAGAAAAACTAAAAAAATTTTTAATTTATAAAAAAATGGTGGCTTCCTAAATAGGCTTTTTTGAAAAAATTTTACTCTACGGAGTGACTTGAAAAATCGAAATTACCAACAAAAATTTTATTCTTGCCATGTTTATCTGACAAATGTATCTGAAATAAGTCGTTAGAAATATTCAAAACGATCGGTTTCGAGAAAAAGACGTTTAAGTCTTTGTGAGCCTATTACAATAACTTTAAAAATGCTTCTCCAAATTTTTGAAAAATATTCTCAAATATGTATACGTTCGCTAAAGAGGGTGATACATTTCGAGGCTTCCTACATTTTTAAAGAAAGCACAGAAACTTCAAATGAGGAAAGGGAATGATTATTATCATGCGAAAGAATATTATTTGGCACTTATTTCTTGAAGATTATTTCTTTCAAATGTTGACCGCGGCTACGTCTCAGATGATAAAATGTCAACAAACGGCTATTGGAAGAAGTACCTCTTAGATAACTCGTTATTTGAAAAAAAAAATGTTAAAAAAATGTATATTTCTTCATCTTTCACTTTTTGTTCTTTCTTTCTACCCTTTCAATCGAATAATATCATTTTTTATTATTCCATATGAAACACTGTCGCAAATTAGAGCTCTATATTTTATCTGCACTTTTTCAAAGCGTTTAATTGCTGATTTAATGGTGTATTGTTGTAATTTTATTACAGTGCGGTTTGTCACAAAATATGGAGGAAAATATGGCGCACAAGCACGCACAAACGCACAAACACACATGCAGCCATAACTATACACTTACACACATAGATATGGCTATGTATGTCAGTTGAATTTCCGCTTTTGCACGCAAGCCCAGCGAATTGGAACCTTTTACTCTGACACACACACAACCAAAGTGCAGCGCTTCGCTTGCTCCACACGCGCACACTCCGTGCCCGCACTTCGCCTTCACTACACATTTTGCTCGCCCACCATGCCAACTGGGCTTGGCCAACTTGCCTGCATTTTGTTTATTTGTTTATACACATGTTAATGTTTATTTAGTTGCTGTTGTTGCCGCAGCGCACAGGCTTTTGTATGCAATTAAATGCGATTATTTCCGCCGCAATCATAAATAAATAATTTTGCGCCGCACACAACAAAACAATTGAAAATTCCTCGTGTATCCACAAATACAGACCTGTATATTTGTGTGAATGTGTAAATTTGTGTGATTTTATATATTTGCATATGTGTTTGTGCGCTTTTTATGTCATCCATCTACGGTGACCCAGCTATGTTGAATTGCGCCGCCGCGCTGCACTCAACAATTAAATTCAAATCAATTTTAAGTGCTACGCAAATCTTTTGCAATTAATTATGGGCCGTTAGGGCCGCTTGTTTGTTGTTTGTGTGCCACCGTTCCAAAACTTTGTCGCATTTCAATTGTTTTATTCATTGTTTTTTTGTGTGTTGTATTTAATGAGTGTGCGCCTGCCAGCTGCGGCCGCTCACTAATGACCGTCGAAGTGTCAGACTTTGCCTTTCATTTATTTTTGTTAGTAATTTGTAGTTAATTGTGCTCAATTTATTATAATTTTCGCATTCATTGCGCGCGATTGCCGGTGATTTATTCGTGTTACTCGGTAAGTGATGGGTTTAAGGTTTTATTGCCACACAAATCGAATTAAATAATACGCTGATGGATTATTGAAGTTGAAGGATTGTGATTTGGTGGATTTAATTTGTAATAATAATTATTGTTTATTGCAGATATTCACTATAAAGTATAGATAAATTGGTTCAAAAATACTAAAAAATTAGATATTAATATTTTATTTTCAAACTATTCTTTTATATTTTTATCCTAACACTCATTAAAACCCTAATACAGTTGCTCTCATATGCGAAAAAATTATATGATCGCTTTCTGTACTCACCCATAAGCGGACATCGGGTCGTATGAGTAATATCCGGTGGTTGGTTGCAGCCCAGCTGATGTCCAAGCAGTCATTTCTGTGCCAGTTGCTGAATTTTTCAATGCATACGGATTGCTCTGAAAATAAATTATTACAAATTTGAAAATATAAAGCTATTTTTGAACGTTTTGAGAAAATTTTGAATAATGTATGTATGTGTGTATATAAAAATATACTTAAACAAACAGGAAAGTATGTACAGATATGATTTGTTCATAATTTACAAATCAATACGGAATTAGTAAATTCAAACTTTATTTAAATTTTTGCTCAAATTAAATAATGACCCTGTATCATATAGGTGCATGAGACGAACAAAATCCAATCAACATATCGGTTGTGAAATCCCTTCAGTCACCAACTCAAAAATAATCAAATAAATACGTAAGAATTAGGAAAACCTTGCATGATTTAAGGCTTCAAAAATATTTATTTTTATTTATTTTTTTCCAAACGAGGTGCTTCTGGAGATTCACCGTAACAGGCTTAGTTATTACTATATTTTGCATTGAAAATTTCTAATAGACTTTAAAAGTTGTACAATAATATGTCATTAAATTTAATTAAATTATATTAATCATGTTGCCGCAAAAAAACACAAATATATGCTTTCGTTTTGCCCTTAAAACCTCACCACCGCCCTTTACGCAATAGTTATTGCTACTCGTAAAAAAGAACAGAATTGTAGAGTAATCTAATTAAGCTTAACGAGTGTACTGTGAGGGTGACCTTAACATTAATGTGTAAAAAACCGAATTCATCTCTAGCAACAATGACACCAAATCTATATGATTCGCTATATACGACAAAGAGATGTCGCGCAAATAGCTTTCAAAGTTAGATTATAATCTATAATACTTAGATATGTAACTCGCCACCCATCTTGAGCTCCTGCATTCAATATTACATAATATTCGCTGAGAATGTAACGAAGACCTTGGAGAATCGATTCGGTGACGTTCGCAGTAACTCGGACTGACGTGTGGAACGACGACATTTGAGAACGACATCAGAGAGAACACTTCGGTGAGCCGATAATTTCACGTTTTGGGCCGATCGATGGGACACCAAGATCGTATGTTATAACATCGTCAGACTTTTTTCGGTGTGGATATGTAAAGTCTAAAGTCTGAACGGACAATCATGCTTTCATTCAATTCTTGGGCAGAACTTTACGCGTATCATTCGTTAATTAGCAGTCGAAATAATCGAACGAGTCTTCGAAAATTGGACTGAACGGATGGACCATCTGAGACGTAGCCGCGGCCGACATTAGAAAGAGATTATTTTCAAAAAATAAATGCCAAGATATGTTCTTTCGAATGATAGTAACTTGGTTCTTTCGTTTTCTCCAGCCATAAATGAGTGCACTTCGGATGATTATATACATACATATTTACTTCTGCAAGAGTAATCTTTTCATTGGATCTCAGTTTCAATAATAATCAATAGTTCCTTTGGGCATTATGCTATTGTCTAGCTTACTCAAATCCCGAATATATCATTCACTTCAAAATATTTTGTGGTCTTTCACTTTTCAACAACGATAATTCCTTTAGCAGCTGATCTGCTCTTATATTGGTATAATTATATTTAAGAATTACTTGCAACCTAAGAATATTTTGAGATAATGTTATTAAAATACTTGGAAAAAATTATTGATCAGCTTTATTGTTGTAATGTACAAAATCACTTTATCGCCAACATTCCTTTAGAACCGTTTCTAACTTGACGTTTTTCTCACAAACCAAATGCGTAAATACTAGACTGACATTGTAAATACGTGGCATGTACATAAAAGTATTGAAAAAATGTACACGTACACATGTGATTACATTTCCTAACGAAAATGGCAACAAATGTATTAAAACATCGATTGTTAGCTTAATAAGTACGTTTGGTGTTGGCGAATTAATCAATTACAACGATGTAAAATGTAGAAGTCGCGCGCTTAAACGAGTAATAGAGATGTGACTTGTAATGGAGATAGCAAACAAATAAATACAAGCAAATACAAAACACATACCAGAGGCGCATAAAAACCGAATGACAACGCCGTTAACGCCATTTATAGCCAATATGCCATTAAAAGCGCGCTGCGTGTATGCATGTGTATATGTAAAGCCAAGTGTGTGTGTGCGGCTTTAAAGGCATGCGAGTGTTTGTGTGTGTTTGCGACGACAAGTGCACGAATACACCAATATTCATGTTTATCCAGCAAAAATGTTGCTCATAAATGTCTGTCTGTGTGTGTGCGTGTTTATAAAACTGGGCAAATCCGCGCACCGCCGCAGCAGCCGCTAATACGAATAATTACGTAATCGTTAAATCTTTGCGAAATTATTTTCCCACAGTTTTTACGAAATGACAAAAACGCATGTTGAATCAAATTTCGTTCGAAAACAACAATTTTATATTAAAATACAATAAATTAAGAAAACCATTTTGTTGTTGACAGGAGCAACAACATAAACTAAATATTTATAAATATGCATGCTTTTCAGAAATAAATTAGAAATTAAAATTTATAATACAACAAATTGCCGCAGAGGCGCACCAATGTCGAGCAGACACTGATATCAACAACAAGAGGAAAAACAACAACAAAACTCGTTTAGCCACTCTTTGTGGCATTGTCGTTGACGCGCTGCTAATTATTTTTACTTTATTATACCGAAAAGCGCCAAATAAAGCAAATATATTGCGGAAAAAAAGTCGAATTTGTGTTTGCAACAGTTTTGTATTGAAAACGTATGAAAACGTTGACATGCCCAGCGTTTTGCATAAATTTCGAATTTTTAGCCATTTTTGTTCGAACAAAACGGCTGCTGACGCCTCTCACGCTCGCAGCGCCAGTGATGCGTCCATTTTTGTCACAAATGTTGGCGCATATATACACACATATCCGACTATTTCTATGCAAATAGTTGCGTATGTGTTGGATTTATATCATTGGAAACTCGCCACAAATTTATGGCCATATGTAAAACTATTGGCCACAATGCACACACGCTGCCGTTAAGGCCAATGATGTGCCGCCAAAGCTTTTGTGTGTAGGCAGCCAGCAGCTTTCTATGTGTGTATGCCCTAGCGTCCGCGTCCGGTGTTTTTTTTTTTTTTTTTTTTTGGTTCTTCATTTCACATATTTTTAATAGAATGTCAATTGCTTCATTCCATTTGTTTACGTTTCGGTTGCGGCTGCGGTTCGTTGCTCATTTGATTTATAAAATATAATTAACATTTTTAATTGCTTTAACAAGATGTTAAGCAGCTATTATATTAATTTCGAAAAATCAGTTTCATACCTCTGTTGACGCGGCGTTAAATGTATTTATCAATTGACATTTATTAAAAGCATGTTCGACACGAAGCCGTGATTTATCTAGCATTGGCAAATGGGTGTAAGCACAAGAGAAAAAGCTACCCTGAAGACAGCATACGCTTCACAGGTGGTTTTCTTATAAAATAAATATAATATGGAAAAACCCCTTATATAGATATTAATCGGTCGGTTTGTATGACAGCTATGCTTTAAAGTAATTCGATCGGAACAAGTTCTTCGGAAATTATACCGCTGCTTTGTATAGTATAATAATCTAAAAAGATTTTCGTACCAACTCTTTATTCCGGTGATTCAATTTGTATCGCAGTTATATGGTTTAGTTAGATTAGATGGCTGATCAAAGATCGCCAGTTCGGCGGGAGGTTTGAAGGTAGTCTTAACCTCCCAAACGTATTACGTAGGTGTTGAGTTGTTTTCTTCTCTTCTTCTTCCAAACAGCTTCTGCAAGATACCTTACCTTAAAGTATGGACGCCAATAGGGCCTGTTAAAGGACCCACAATTAGGGGGAGGTTAGCCTTACTGAGAGCAAAAAGATCACTAGATCTCTTGCAATCGACCTTAGGCCAAAAGGCTTTTGCGAGTGAGTCCAAGGCTAATATCGCCGCCCTGCAATCTGAGTGAATGGTTACTTCTCTGAAGGAGATTGCACTCCGGAGCAGTAGGTCTGCTGCCACCTTAATGGCGGCAACCTCGGCTTGGAAGACACTGCAATAGTCAGGAAGTTTTAAGCTGGATTTGTGTATGAAAAGGTGGGGTATTTTTGCCAATGGCTTCTCTACAGCAGTACAAGGAAATCGAGGAAGTCTCGGCTCTATCTTCGGTATTCAGCTTCCATGAAAACTTCCCATCCAGGATGTGCCCTAGATATTTCACTGTATCCGCCAGTTGCTGACGGATGTCTCGCATTTGTAGCATAAAACCATCTCGGTTTTAATTCGGTTGATGGCGAGACGACGCTGCGATACCCCTGCCTAAACTCGTACACGATACTCAGGAACTTTCTTTTAACCATAAGTATTACATTGTCTGCATAGGCAATCACCTGGCAGCCACGACAATCAAATTTCCCCATTCCGTTTCAATCCTACTGTTGCACAAAAGACCCTCGTCATGTGCCCCCTTAAATACCAGTCCATCAGTCTTTCAAGAATTTTTAGTAAGAAGAAGGAGAGGGTGATATTCCCAAAGCCCTTGGTCGTAACATGAGAGCCCCTGCCAGATTTCGGAATAAACGTAATTCTGACTCGTCTCCAAGCCCCCATTCTTATGCAATTCGCATAGATAGGTGCCGATATGAAAAATTTCTTTGGCAATAATCCATACCAAATGGGTGAAAACCATTTCTACACAATTAGTCATTCTGTCCTGGACTGAGAAGCAGAGTGTAAATTTTTGCATCGTTTTACACATCAGACACCAAAGTATAGTCAAAATGAAGGAATTCGCCCAACAAACCAGCTCTGAGGAAGGCGAGATGAATAAGACCATTATTTTCTGGGATGCGTGATTTACATCGATCACATGTCATAGAACTCAATGATACCAAATTGAATAACGGCTCTTTGCATTTCCACTATTATGACGCTACTTCGCCACGGCCAAGTTAATAGAATTGGACTGCATAACGCTGCCTTAGCACCACTGCTCTGAAGATTTAATCTTTTTTTCGGTTTCAAAACTCGAAAAAATTACTGCATAGGCAGAACATAGCGATGTATGAGGAGGAAAGAAAA